CTAAAAGATTTACTGCATACAAAATGGTATTTAATTTACGTCTTCTCTTTCTTTCTTTGTTTTTTGGTTTTTGTTGTTTTCATTTTGGTAACTTTCTAGCGAAAAAAATTACCACTGTCACTATAAGTGAAGGAAATGCCCGAGCGAGCCTTAATAAACGACGAGGTCTCCGCTCAAGGTCCTCCTCTCACGACAATTGTTCATAAGTCAGACATTAAAATTTGTTTAAGAGCGTAATAGTCCCTAATTTCACAGATCATAGTGTTGTGTTTCGTCCAGCGTTCCTTCCTTAAGTAGGTAATTTAAGGTTTTTCGTCTTTAGCTGGTTGTTTATAGCCTTCGTAACAGACGTAATCTAACCCCCGTTAGAAGTTAAGTTACGTTTGTGGCGCAGGCTAATTGTTTAAGCTGTTTGCCTGCCTATTTTCAACGCTTTAGACCATACACCACTGCGATTTGACTACTTCTATAAAGGTTATCGAGAGAAACCTGAACAATTACAATTTTTTTCTGCTACAGAAGCGTTGGCAAACAACGGTAATATTACCACTTCCTTTTTTTAATTTATTTTTTCCGAGATTGATTTGCAACAGAAAATTTCCTGATGAGTGCTCATAGATGAAGATAAAATATAACCTGCTCATAAAATGATACATGATAAAACTAAATATTGTAAAAGCGGAGCTCTGACCAAAAATAGCAAGTTTCGCAAGAGCTCTCTTTTATTAATGATTATCTCTATCAGCAATATCATTTAAAAATTAAGCATACATCTGCAGTACTGTGCAACTCAAGAAACAAATTAAAGATATTCAAATAACTTGACAATAACAACAAATTAGAAAGCATACACATTTTTCTCTTGAAAAGTAATAAATTTATATGGCTTTTAATTCCGGTTGGGTTCGACGATTTATGGAAATTGAATATCCTGACTGATGTAACCGATCCTTCAATGGAGTACATGAATTTCTTCAATTTTCGGTAATAGAAGAACTTGAGCATGACTCTTAAATTAGTGGTCACTTTACGATGGGCGTTCTTACTTATATAAGTTGCACAGGGATATCTATTCAGCTGTTAGATCAATATAATTTTGCAATATTAATCAACTGTTTTGCATAAACCAGACAAAAGATAGTAGAAAACAACCTTTAGAAAATATCAGTAAAATCAAAAAACTCTCCAAAAGCCTAACTAAAGGTTGTTTCACAGGCTGACCAAATCCACTGCTATTGCTTGATTTATTTATAATCCTGAGGAACGTTTATAAGGAACCATTCACCATACGAGTCGGTGCAAAAAAAGGGATATCGAATCCGTAATAGCGGGGTCACGTAAGAGAAAACGGCCACTTCCTATTGCTTTATTTTTTTACTGTCAAATGCTTAAGTATTGAGGCACCTACTTCGTATACGAAAAAAGTGATTCATATTAGAAGTGAAGAGACGGATAAAAATATAAGGGATGTACAATAACTTTGAATGAAAGACCAATATATTAGCGTAGTTTGTATGCAAGAACTATCAAAATTCGAAAACACTTGTAAGTGAATGGAGATCAAATGATCGTTATCGTTTCACAAAGAATTGCCCACCCTGACCGGTTACTCATTAGCCAGTCTTTGGTGGCTGATACAATTAGCCATATTCAAAGCCTATTCAAAATGTAACCTGTATCTTTAGTCCAGTTGCATAAAAGCTAATATCTGTATTAAGGTGTGTCTTCAGTCTTTTCCTGTTCCTGTTCAGGTGGAACAGTTTCTTTGAACAAATTGCGTTTAATGCGCAAAATAGCAAAATAGCTCAAAAATAAGATTACCCGCAAGTAGCATAGTCGTATAGGGACGGGTACTTGTATCAAAAAAGGTTTGTTTGTACTTTTATTATTATTGATTGTCAAGGTATCAGATTTTAACCATGGAAATGCGCCCTTTTTTACTCAATCTGTAAATAACAAACTAACTGCTAAGATATTTCTTTTCACCTTAGTTTTTTTAAGTTTTACTTGACCTTATAGAGATTGTATTCGTCAGCAATTTTATAAATAGATGAATTAAGAGTTTTAATCTTTCTTCTTAATGTTTGTATGAACCACCACTGCAAAGTAGGTCCATTAACCTGACAAACTGACATTTAATCATGTGATGTTAATTCAGGAATAATTCTCTACTCTCCTGCCTTTACTCAATCCCCTCTAAGGTTTTTCTGACTTTTTTTCTAGACGATTGAACATAAGCACCTCAACTTTTCATTAGCTGTTGGTTTATCCCTTACGCGCAGTTTGAGACAAGTTAAGTGATGATTAGTTACTATGGTTACGAGATATGACGTCATAACTAGCAGGTGGTTTAGCCATTTTTGAGTGAAAATGCATGTTTTTTTTTTCAATTTCTTTGAACGATAAAAGTAAATCTTGTGGATAAAACGAAGCAAATTACTTATTTATGTGTTATTCTACATGTCAAGCATAAAAATACCAATTCTCGCCGTTTTTACCTGATTTCCAATTTTCGGTAAAATCCAAGATGGTGCCAAGATGGCGACCATGTTTGGTGACGCTACAGGTCTTAGCAGCGCCACTACCGATAAAATATACCTCACCTTTAGGGAAGATAAAAGGCTCCTCACTTAAGGTATAATCTTTTTCGAAATGCTGCAACATATCAAAAACTCTCTTCCCCCTTGTACAACGGTGGGGGTATCACTTTGCGAGAACGTCCTAGGGTTAACACATAAATATCCATGAGCAATAGACTGAGAGACTCACTTATGGAAAGAAACAAGCGTAGCTACCATGTTCAACGGCTGGTTGCTGTGCGCCTTATTGTTAAATGGCAGCTATTACCAAATCGAAATATCTTCGCTTGTTTTACCTTAACCTTTCCAACGATGAGATCTCATTCTACCTCCAGAAATTCCAAATTCTTTTCATGGACCCAAATCGAGCAAAGATACTCAAAGTTTGCGAAAACGAAAGGATCCTAAAGGGAATGATGCTTTGAATTATTAATTAGTGTAAGATGTTCCTAACAAACTTTATTCCATCCGGGCATTTTTTCAGAATTCAACCCGTTCATATATGTGTATGAAAATGCTACTTGCGGGTAATGAAAGGTATTCTTGAACTATTTTGCTAATAATTGTTCTTAAGCATCGAAAGCAACGTAAACGTTTGAGATACTTTTCCAACTGTGTCCGTGTAATCGATTTTCGGACGACAATGTACACATTGAAGCCTTCTTACGTACGTGGTCACGTTTTCCTTTTACGTTTTTTTTTTTAAGATTTCTTAGGGAAAGTAATTGAAAAACAGGAAAATTGTAAATGACACGCCTAAAGAATATCATTTTTTCTGCTAGCATGACTGAAATACAGAGCATATTTTGTGGGTTTGATTATTTTAACCAGTGAAAAGTGATCTCTTGAACCAAAATTTCTAAATATAGGGGGTATAATTATTTTGATATCACAAGAAATATAATTGATATCGTTAAAAAAGAGCTCTAGCGAAATTAACTACCCATAAATTTGGATTTAAAGCGTTTTGTCATATCTTTGCTTTTACTATCAACTTGGTTCCAAAGTTAAATTTTGACGTACACGTCACGACAAATTTAAATGTCCCGAGATAATTTCTAGGAAAAGTCTCAAAGCTCGGACCATAGCTTGAACGGTTTTGAATTTATTCAACATTTTTGCGGGTACAGGAGGGAGGTGCTCCGAAGCCCTGTCTGGGCCGACTAGGATTAAGGGTGAATTCGTTTGCAGCATACAAGTATAGCCGATGCATTTGTGTGGAAGATTTTTTCTCGTGTTTAGCTCAAAAAGAACACTGAGAAATTTTTAACAGGTAAATGCGTCGGCTGTACGCTAATGCTGCAAACGATATAATCACATGATGGAGACCAACCGTAGGCTGTGAAAAGTTCGCGATCAATAAAGTTACTACATTGACAGAAAAGATATACAAGTCCTGTCATATAGAGACCATAGTGAAAATGTCTTCCATTGTCTTAGCTAATACGAAGTTACACTGAGACACAGAAGAACTTAACAGCTCGTGTAATTGCATTTTTTTTATTCAGTTTAAATTCCCTTACATATCTTTAGTAGTAAGTTTTGTTATAGCATGCTAAGATATTAAGTCAATGTAAATCTATTTCATAAACTTTCAAACGTAAAAGAGGTCTAACCAACCACAGGAGTAAACCATATTTTACACAAGAGAGTTTACGATAACTAGATTAAAAGATGCTCGCTGTTTGATTCAGTCATTAAATCCTATCCAGGCAGTCGCTTCTAACAGGGACGTTCGGGAAGACCTAGAAAAAGGTGCAAGAAACAAAAAGAATGCAAAAAAAAAAATGACATAACAACCAAAAATAGATAATGTATTAATCGATTGTAATTGCTAGGTAATGTCCTGAATTTACCTGCTTGAGTGAGAGTGAGAAATCAAAGTAATAACTTATCGATTTCGTGTTTTACGTTGCAACGGAAATTTTTAATGACCTGTTCTCACTCTGTACTGTTAAAAGAGGTTAGGAAAAAAAAAAAAAAGGAAAAAAGACACAACATTCCTTAAACAGTGCAAGATGGCTGCCGACCCAGGACAGGTCGCGTAAGCGGGTCAAGATTCTTCCGCACTATTTTAGTTTGTTCGTTGCACCATTTGAGCTATCAGAAACCATCAACTTGAAAAAAGAGTGGTAACCCCTTTATATATGTGGTAAGCAGACTTAAGCTGGTGCCTTAGAGGTGAATATAGTAAAAACAAAATTTCGGAGATGTGCAAAAAGAAATGCAGATTGCAGATTGTCCAGATTGCACTTGAAACAACGTATAGATAAATAGACAAACAAAGAAACAGGTCTACAGACAAATATAAATCGATGAATAGATGGATAGATTGGTAGATACATTAAAGATAGATATATCCACCTACTTTTAACGTTTTCAGCATTAACCCCATCGACGGCCTCTGCGTCTGCGACGCCAACCCCCGCGACGGCCTCCGCGTCGGCGGCGCCAACCTCCGCGCCGCCCTCTACGTCGGCGGCGGAAACGTCGAAATACTGCGCGACCAATGAGAAGAGGCCAGATAGGATCTTCAGCTTCATTTCCTGGATTGATCAAAGCGTTTTCATTCTCATATTCGTTCTCCCCTTCTTCGTCATCATCGTCTACTTGCCGTACAGCATAAACGTTTTCGTCATCGTCTTCTTCGTCTTCTTCGTTTTCATTTCGCTGGTTCAAATTTTTGTTCCTGTATTTAGGCAAATGAAATTGATATTCCATATTCAATATTTGGCATGATATTTCATTTTTGTATTAATTGGAAAGTTTTTTCCATTGCTTGTCGCAAACTGTATTCATTCATCCAAATAATCAAGCTGTAAACCTATACCTTTTGGTTTTGCTATCGGGCAAAAGCTATAATTATTGTGATTTACCGACAATTAAACAAGGCTGCGTAGTGAACTTGGCAGACCAACATAGGCACCTACAGCCAAAATCATTATGTATGTGCTTCGTTGGAGATCAAGTCAAAGAAGTTTTTATATATATCATTTATGTTACAATACCGAATTATCCTTGTTTTTGCTGGAGATTTAACAAAATACATATGCACTATACACTATAAGATAGTCCATGAACAGAAAACTGCCCTAACTAGTAACTTTCTGGATGAAAAACGTTCAGAAAAAAATTGTTTTGACAAAGCCTTTTTGTTTGTTTGTATCCTATGTTAGAGTCTCAACAATTTTAACTCAATGTAATCACTAGCTAAAGACCTACAGCCGTGGACTGTTTGTAGAGCAACAAAAAAAGGAAACATACAAATAATGCAATTGAACATGAGAACATTTCGACCTATTACAGAACTGTCATAACTTTCTTTGAAAATATATCAGTAACATATAACAAGCTACGTCTGTTTCGCACCCTTCTTTTTCGTCCGGTTGGACGTCCCTCGCAAGATCGTTGATTTCCGCATTATATGCTTCAGAAGTATCTCCGTTGAATGGAATAGCCAAACTGAAGGCCAGTACAAAGCCAAGCAGTGCCAACAGAAATAGAGTCTTCATTTCTAAATCTTTTCCAGTTGACTACTAGTTCATGGAGACAAAAGTCGCGCTTTTATATGCTATGTAAGATTATATATATTGTGATATTTTGATTCAAACGAAATATTCAGGATATCTTTCTAAAATTAACATCATGTGTGAAATTTAAACATCACGTTTTGTTACCAATGAATACACCGAAAATATGATGAGGACCTACACTTAAAGCTCTGTAAGCTATATATAAGCCAATAGGTACATATCCTTCTTGAATAAAAGTGTTTCCTGTTTTTAATGTCGTATGTTAACCCGTAAAGCAATCAGTTGTTTAATTTATTAAAATTGTTTATATATCGAGGGAGTTATGAAGGCTTTAAACAACGTTAACAGCCTTTGAGAAAGCGTGATTGAGTGTACTCATGGTTCATATTTTACACTTAACCCACCTAAAACTACACTTAACTCACCTAAAAATCTAAAAAGGAGAGAGACACTTTACCCGAACAAATTTAATTTAATGTTAATTTGTTACACCACAGAGAGACATTGAGGTTTGCCAAAATAGGATTTTGAACTTTTACCCGCGCTATTGAGGTTTCTCCCCATCCGCAACTGAGGGCGTGGCAATATTGTTGTCGATTTAATAATATTATTGCTCTATTTTTATGTCGGCGTGTCTTCATTTTTTCCCCTTTTCGAAGTATTTCCCCTTAATCGAGATTGCATTATAATGTAACTTTTTTATGCACATCTGTTATCTTTTAAAGATTCACTGATACAAATTTTATGTAATTGACGTCTTCTCTTTCTTTCTGTTTTGGAAATTTTCTAGCGAAAAAAATTAACACTGTTACTATTAGTGAAGGAAATGCCTAAACGAGCCTTAATCCGTAATAAACCACGAGGTCTCTGTACAAGGTCCTCCTCTCACGACAATTGTCCATAAGTGAGAAATCAAGTTTGTTTAAAAAAACAAGGTCGGTGATGGAATGATAAAACATTTATTGAACACGGTTATCGAAAATATCGTGATTTGTCAGTGTCTCGCAGATCAATTATTGAACTCGGCTCGCCACTGACAAATCACGATATTTTCGATAACCGAGTTCAATAATTGTTAATTATTTGCTGCTATATTAGCTTTGGGAAACAAAAATAATAATATTACAACATCTTTTTTTTTTTTTTTTACAACAACCGAGATTGATTTGCAACAGATAATTTCCTGACCAGTGTTCATGATAAAGGTAAAATATAACCTGCTTATAAAATGATACATGATAAAACTGAATATTGTGAAAGCGGAGCTCTGACCAAAAGTAGCCCTGAATATCTGTATCACAATGTCATTTAAAAAAGTAAGTATACATCATTAGAAACTCAAGAACAAAGCAACTCATCTCCGCTTATTTAAATAACGTGACAATAACAACCAATTTTAAAAGCTTACATATTCTTCTTTTGCAAAATGATAAATTTAAATGGCTGTAATTCGTTCCGTTCGACGATAGAATAGAATAGAATAATTTACTTAATGTCGAAGACGTGGGAAGTGTTTGCACAATATTCCGAGCCAGAGGCTCATGATCACGATTCATGGATATTGAATACCCAGTTCTAGATTAATATAATTTTGCAATATTGTTTAAAAGTTTGCATAAACCTGACAAACAATATGATAAAACAAACTTTAGAAAATATCAGTGAAATCCCAAAGCCCTAACTAAAGGTTATTTCACGGGTTGACCAAATCCAATGCTATTGCTTGATTTATTTACAATCCTGAAGAACTTTTATTGAGACGGTGTTTGCAAAAAAATCGATATCATCTTAAATCCGTAATAGCGGGTTTATGTACGAGAAAACAGCCACTGGGGATGCTGAAGGCAATAGATTGAGAGACTCACTCATGGAAAGAAACAAGCGTACCTATCATGTTCCACGCCTAGTTGCCGTGCGCCTCACTGTTTATATTGCAACTAAATAAATATCAAATCGAAATATCTTGGCTAGTTTTGCCTTTACCTTTCCAACGATGAGATCTCATTCTAACTTCAAAAAAAATCCAAAAGTTTTTATAGACCCAAAATCGAGCAACACAAACGTTAACACTGCAGCGAAAGATACTCCAATTTTGCAAAAAATCAAAACGTCTGAAATACTGTTCCAGCTATGCATCCGTTCGTGTTATCGATTTTTTGGACGACAATGTACAAATCGTCGTCTTACGTACGAGCTCACGTTTTCTTTTTTCCTTTTTTTTTTAAAGATTTTTTTAGGGAAAGTAATTTAAAGAACAGGAAAATTGTAAATAACACGCCTAAAGAATATCATTTTTTTTTCTGCTAGCTGGACTGAAATATACAGAACATATTTTGTAGGTTAGATTATTTTAACCTGTGAAAAGTGATCTTTCGTTTAGACTTCTAACCCGTGAAATGTGACCCCTGTATCAGTTGCCAAATATTATAAGCAAAAGGGTAACCGAACACGGTGCACAATTCGCTAAAAATTAACTATAACGATTAATTGACGTTTAATACAGAAAATTCCAAAACTCAGAGCGAAAAAAATAAGAAACGAAATGGATATTCGTCCGACATGACATGCGTTCGTTAACAAGTGTTTATGAGTTTTTGTTCTTCTAGCATGCAAAATATATTCTAATATTATTGTACATACACTATATTTTTATCTCTCTTCACTTCTTTAGTGTCAGGCTCTTTACCTGCCACGCTATTACGGACTTGATATCGCCATTAAGTATTTTTGCAAACACTGACTCGCATATTATTGTCAGTAATACCTAGCTTTAAGTGCCTCAATAAAAGGATTGACTGTCAATAAATAAGACTGTTGCTTTTCTCAGCCTGTAAAGTAAACCTCAGAGACTTGGTCTTTCACTCTCATTTGCTTTCTAAAAGTTGTTTTATGGTACTGTTTGTCCAATTGTATGCAAAACATTTTTTTTCACGATATCGTAAAAACCGTATTGATCTATCAGCTGAAATAGATATCCTTGGGCAACATAAAATTATGGACACCGATGAGTCTAATTAAAGTAAACCGCACTCATTTAAGAATTCTTCTCACGTTGGAAATTGGAGTAATACACTGTACGTTTATCTCCCTTCCAATAATGATTCCTCACTACACGGATTCCTTTCATTCCATTCAAAAGTCGGTCGTAGGAGTTTGAACTGAGATTACTTTCTTTGTTCCTAAATTTCTAAATATAAGGGTATACTTATTTTGATATCACAAGAAATATAAACGATATCGTGATACAGATATTCTGTGTTAAAAAAGAGCTCTAGCGAAATTACAACTACCAATTAATTTGGTTTTAAAGCCTTTTGTCATGTCTTCGCTTTTACTTTTATCAGTATTATTATTCATTTTTATAGTATTTTGCCTTCATCTATGAGTAGTGATAGGGAACTATCTGTAGCAAATCAATTGCTTCTCGGTTGTTGTAAAAAAGAAAAAATGGAAATATATCGTCGTTATTGGCCAACGCTAATGTATAAGCCGTAATCGACTGATCAGGTTTCTCTCGATAGCCTTTATGTCCTTTATGGAAACTAGTGAAAAAACAGGCCTTTATATGTTTGAAAATAGGCAAGCAGCTCAGAAAAAAACGACGAAAAAGGTTAACTTAACTATTGGAACCCAATACGAACGATGATCTTGAAATTAGTGACTATTATGTTCTCTGACAAAATTTATAACATATAGAGTTTTGCCGTGACAGGGCGACCTTTACACGGAAAAGCAACTTCAACAACAACGACAACAACAACAAATCATTTTCTTTGTCACTAATTGCTTGAGACTCGATAGGCGTATTTTTACTTAAGATGGATTTCAAATGTAACTTTGCTCCGTAAATAAAATTGAGGCAATTTATGGAAGGTCGCGCGTACAGGTAAAATTTGAACCTCGCTCAAACGTTTAGGGTAATCGCGCGGAAAATTACTCAACAGTCGCAATCCACCCTTAGGAGCTTTTCGTGAGGTGGGCCCATGACAATGAAAACTACATCAAGAACCCATAAATGACTTTTTCTGGAACATTGAAAATGAAAAATAAACGATATCTGCAATGGCAGTAGGTCTCTTGCAAGAACTACCCGAAGGCTGAGAAAGTCAAGTAAAGTTGTTGCTAACGTCACCTAGCTCTCTTTTTCGCGACCTTCTGTTGATATTTGTGTATGCTTTCTGCTTTACGCTTTGTTCTGTCATCGTTTTACTCATTCTCTCGATGCTTTCTCTTATGCTCTATTTCTATCATAGTCTATTTCTGTTATATTTATTTAATTATTCAATTCCTTTGTTTTCTTCACTTTTCAAATTGGTATTCCTGTTTGTGAGTCAAGCTACACTGAAGATAAATGTGTACAACGTGAAGCGTCAAGAGATAATAGATAGCATATAAGTGAAGTTACTTTATATTTCTTCATTTAAACAAATATAGACTGAAATAAAAATTCGGTCCTGGAGGCAATCTCGATCAAGGGGAAGTGCTTGGAAAAGGAGGAAAAAATGAAGACACGCCTAAATAAAAATAAAGCAATTATCAAGTCGGCAACAATATCCTCATACCCTCACTTACGGATTGGGACAAACCTCAATGGCGCGGGTAAAAAGGTTAAAAATCCAGTTTCGCATGCGTCAATTAGCATTAGGGGAAATTTGTTGGAGTAAAGTGTTCCTCTCCTTTTTAGATTTTTGAGCGGGTTAAGTGTATGACAATTGCCTCAAAAGATGAAAAAACATTGATTATATGATAAACCATGACTTATACAACATATTGCTTGTTTATAGCCTCTGTAACTTCCTTGATATTTTTTATTACTGATTACTATAGTGGTTAATATACGACATATACAACAGGAAACGCTTATAGTCAAGAAGGATATATTCTCATTGGCTTTTATGTAGATTATCGAGCTTTAAGTGTAGGTCCTCATAAAATGTTCTATTAGTGACAAAACGTGATGTTTAAATTTCGAACATGATGTTAAATTTAGAAAGATATTCTGGATATTTCTTTTGAATTAAAATATCACGATGTTTGTGATCGTTACGTAGCATATAAAAGCGCGACCTGCGTTTTCGTCAACCAGTAGTCAACTGAAGAAGATTTGGAGATGAGGACTCTAATTCTGTTGGCATTGCTTGGCTTTGTACTGGCCTTCAGCTTTGCTATTCCATTCAACGGAGATACTGCTGAAGTATATGATGCTGAAAGCAACAATCTTGCGAAGGACTTCCAAGGAGAAGTAAATAAAAGGTAAGAAAAAAACGAAGCTTTTCTTCTTGTTAGTGATAGATTTCCAAAGAAAATTATAGCTTATCTGTAAAAAATTAAAATACTCCCAATTTTCTCAATGTAGTACATGTATCCGTTTTCTTTCTTTCCTTTCTTCTATTTTTCCTCTTCTTTCTATCTTTTTTTTCCTCTCCTAAATACATGTAGGTTCAGGTAAAGTTGTCGAGTTTCTGATCTAGGATATATAAACAATTGCAAAAAATATAAAAATTCTTTGTTAAAATAAAGTAATGTGTTTTAAAAATCAAACTTGATAGACTCTGCCTGAAAATAAGAAAATTCCTGGTTGATAATTTTGTAAGCGCACGTTTTTCATGCATCAGTTGTTTCTTCCCCCCACAGGTGCTATGTTACTCAGTTAAAAATAGATATTAGTAAATATTAATATGGTAAAGTTATGTAAACGTTTTGTTCAGTGAAACTTCTTCACTTTTCTGGCTATGTACTCCACTTTACAGTGCACCTTAGTTATGAAAAACTTTGAAACTGGATCGTGTGCGTTTGTAGGCAAACAAACTCACTTGATGTCTGGAAAGTGAATTTATAAAATATTTTCAATAATAAGATTTCTCGGTCATCGTACATCCGACGATTGCGTTTAATTATAGGTAAATCACTCGACTTAACTTTTGATAGTTCCACAAGGTTTAGTTTCCAGTTTGATTTTTTGGATCAATATATACAGTTTGGATCCACCTGAAAGGAAAAATGATTTGCGAACGAATATAAAAATTTAAAATAATATAATACAATTAAAACTAAATACCGAACATCCTTTACATTTGCCTTACTGTAGGAATGAAGATACAGAAAACAGAAATGGAAACAAGGAAGACGAAGACGAAGAAGACGATGACCAAAACGTTTATGCTGTACAGCAGTTAGAAGATGATGACGAGGAACTGGAAAACGAAGATGAGAATGAAAACGCTTTGACCAATCAAGGGAATGAGGTTGAAGATCCTATCTGGCCTCTTCTCATTGGTCGCGCAGTATTTAGACGTTTCCGCCGACGTAGGGGTCGGCGCGGGGGCTGGCGTCGCCGACGCAGAGGCCGCCGTGGGGGTTGGCGTCGCAGACGTAGAGGCCGACGATGGGGTTAATGATTAAGAGATCCAATGTAGGTTGATGTATCTATCTAACCATCTATGCATGCATCCATCCATCCCTTTCTCTGTCACCCTATCTTTCTGTCTGTCTACGCCTTAAGGAAATATATAGACAGAGGCACCCTGGCGGCCCAGAGGTCCCTTTTTAGGGAAAAAAACCCTCTGGCACCCAGAGTAAAACGGAGGCGTCGTACGATTTTTTTTCGCACATCTACACTTTCTATTCGTCAGTTTTACCATTTACCTGTCGGGAACCAGTTTCGGTGTAACCACTCTTTAAGCACTTTTGGGGAAAACGGCGTATAATATAGCGATTTCACTGAATCGGATAATAAATCATATTATTTTCATTTTTTTTAATTCTAGGTTTGCCCAATGCAAATGTCCCTTCGAAGGCCGATTGACTGGACATGATTTATATTCGCCGCTACACTTCAGTAATTCACAAAGGAAACCAAGTCAAATTTCAAAACAAATTGGACAAGTAAAAGACGTGTAATTTAGTAACGAATATAAGGTAATACAGAAAAGAAGAAAACAATCATAACTTTTTGCACAGCGTTCTGACTTTTTTTTAACCGGGTACTCTTGTTTGTAGGCTCTCTGACACAGTTTTTCATTGGGCATAGCCTAGCACATTTACTGGCATGATATATATGTTATTGAATTTTAACTGAAAATAATAAATGTCATTTAATGAGCTGTTGATCAACTATTCTGCGTTTAAGTTTTACTACTTTTTGCTAAAATAATGCTGCTCTTACGCAAACCAAAGCGAAAATATTATGAAAATGAAATTGATAAAGCTAGACAAAACATAAAGCAAACAGGAGAGTTTTGGGGGATATTGGTAACACATGCAAATCCAAATCGAGCCTGCCTTCTGGATGTAAATATAATGAGTCCGATCTTACCGAGCCTACCCAGATTGCTGATAAATTTTGTTCTTAATTCACCAATATTGGAAAACCGTTAGTCCACCAAACTCCAGCAACTTTTCACAATCTGCCATATCTTACCTAAACGGAAATTATCCTACTATTTATTTTTTTGCATCCAACGACAAAAGAAGAGATGTTGAACATCCAAAAAGTTCAAAGGTGGAAAAGTTAACCATTAAACAATGTTTTACTTCTATTTGTCCCAGGCAACATCAAAATTGCCAAAGTAATACCCGTTTACAAAAAGGATCAAAATTATTTCGTAGTTACAGACCGATTTCAATATGACCCTCTTTCTCGAAATTTTTTAACCTTTCCAGGATTTTATTGATGAATACTACATACTTTCTGGTCTCCAATTCAGTTCCAGGAAACGCCATTCAACCTGTTTGGCAATGATTAAACTGTTCGAAAATAATTCTTCCGCTCTTGAGAATAAAGAATTCGCTTTTGGAAGTTTCCTCGACTTGTCCAAAGCATTTGACACTGTCAGTTTCCACGAAATTCTTTTTGAAAAGATGTTCCACTATGGCATACGCAGAGTTGCCTTAGACTGGGTGAAAAGCTGTTTCAACGATAGAAAGCATTTTGTTCAATTCAATCAGTCTTGCTTTGGCCATTATAAAATCACATGCGATGTTCTCTGATAGGACCCTTGTTCTTTCTTCTTTATATAAATTACATTTGCAAAGTTCTAATATTAATATTGAAGTTCCTACTGTTTGCAGACGATACCAATATTTTCTAACCCTCTGATTGACTCGCAAATTTCGATTTAACCAAAATTGTTATCTGGTTTCAAGCATTGCCAAACAAGCTCTCTTTGAATATAAAAAAGGCCAATTGTGTGTTGTTTAAGCCGCGACAACGGAATTGCTCTTCAGCAAATCGATGGCAAAACAATAGATCGGGTACAACGAACGTCCTTTCTAGGAGTTATTTTAAAAACCAGCTATCTTGGAAAACACACATTTGCCAGGTTGCTTCAAAGGAAGCCAAAACAATTGGTATAATTTACAAGTCCAAATACTTTCTACCTAAGAAATCTTTTCTTTCGCTTTACCATTCACTTGTTTATCGTTATTACTACAAGCTAGCCTGGGATTCAACTTATAAAGCTAATTTACATCGGCTCATTCTTTTTCAAAAACGCACTGTTTGAATAATCGACAATAAAGATTATCGAGCTCTTTTGGAACCTAGTTTTAAAAATTTAAAAATATGATTAAAGGTCTTTGAGATCAATTCTTTACAAACCGGTATTTTTATGTTCTCGTATTGTAACCATCTATTGCCTTCGACTTCGACAATCTTTTCACATCTGGTTCTCTTGTCCATGATTACAATACTCGATTTGCACAGACTCTTAGGCCAGTTCAGTATTTCCTACCAAGGCCCACTCTTTTGGAACTCTCTAAGCAAACATTTAACACCTAAAATATGTGATCATCCTTACCCTCCAGTTTTGGAAGCAATTTTTGTATGTAATTAAGTTGTTTTTTTCCCGTACCTTAGTTTATACTGTGGTTTATTCTGTAAATCGCGTCTTCTTTCCTCTAATGTTATGTCAACTTATTATATAAGCTAATCCAGAGGGAGCCTTGACCCATATAAATCCCAGGCTTCCAGTTCAGGCTTCCCAGTCACCATCTTTTTCTATATTTGTCTGTATATTTAACCTGTAATATGACAAAAACAAATAAATAACTAAATAAATAAAAACAAAAATAAATAATACAACAAATAAATAAATAAATGATGATATTATATGTGTTTGAAAGGGCTAGTATAACCTTTCTCACGATGGTCACTTTGTGATTAATAGTGACGTCTTAACCGCCTACAACCTTTCTTGTGTGTGAACATTCATTTATGCAAATATGCATAAATGAACAGAGAATCGAACAGGTTAAGGAAACGGTCTTACTCGGTGTAGTCCTTGATGAACATCTGTCTTGGAAACCGCACATTTCTCAAGTAGCTCTTAAAATCTCGAAATCAATAGGTTTTATTAATAGAGCAAGATTTTTTCTACCTATACCCTGTCTAAAAACTCTTTATTATTGTTTAGTTTATCCTTATCTTCATTATTGTATTATTGTCTGGGGATCTATGTACAAAACCAGTCTTCGCCGTCTTGTCTCTTTGCAAAAGCGAGTTATCAGAATTATTTCTAAATCAACTTTCGATTCTCATTCAGACCCTATTTTCAAAGAATTAGAGCTACTAAAACTTTCCGATATTAGACAACTAGAATTGGGTAAACTTATGTTTTCTCTTAACCATTCTCTTTTGCCTTCAAAGTTCAACAATTATTTTTCTTTAAACAAACAAGTCCATAGCTATGCCACTAGACACGCGAACGATTTTCACCTTCCTTTTTGTAGAACAACCCTTCGTAAATTTTCTGTCAGTTTCCAAGGACCTACTTATTATAACTCTATAGAAAATGATATTAAAGAATCTAATTCTCTCCCCTTATTCAAAACGAAATTGGAAAAAAATTATATATGAATTATTAGTTATAAATCTTGTAGTAAATAGTTATATTTCTTCACATGTCTGATATTATTTTTATACTTATTGTTACATGTACCATACCTTATATTTTGTCAACTCAGTCTATGTAATTAGTTAATTTATACTTACCTTCATTGTATTTTACTTTCGATCCTGGCCTTACCGTTACTGTGAACTTTATTTTTACTCTGAGGGAGCCCAATGTCTATAACCCTCATGGTTTCTTTTTGGGCTTCCTCGCCACTTTCATCTGCTATTGTGTAACTGTCCTGTTTTATCGTTATTCGTATTTTGTGGTAAATCAAATAAAGTTACAAAGTTACAAGAAAACAGAAGCCCCAACCAGTATGATTTTCGTGGCGGCGCAAAAGCTATCCAGTATCATGTGAACATTGTCTAATTGGAATACTAATAAAATGGAGCGCTGATGGAGGTAAAATGAACGCACCGTCGGCCTCGGGTGTTTTGGTCTGATAATGATCAGGGACCTTATGACTGTTTGATGGACAGGAAAGTTGCCTCTAAGGATGAAAAGCCAAAAAAAAAAGTATTAATACGTCATGTACAACGGAAAACAGCCTTAGTCAGAGGCGATTTGTACTTCATGGATTATTGCAGCATGCAAATTGAGCCTCAAAGGTGAAAGTATTAATACTATTTTTACATGTAGTTAAAAGAAAACTTTTTTGAGTTTAAAACGTGCTTTATGAATTTATAATTCAAATATCGCAATATTTAAGATTGTAACATGACATATAAACGCAAGGCCTGCGTTAATAGAAACCAGAAACAGAGAAAATTTCGTGATAAAGACTTATATTCTGTTTTCACTGCGGGTGGACTTGTGGCACGGTGGATATTGCTTTCAACAGGGATGCAGTTGAAGCAGATAACGCTGTCACTCGAAAAATGTAAGGGACGTTCAAGCAGAAGAAACTGGAGGGTAAGGTAGAAATGTGATTTAGAGTATTGGATGTGGAGTACCGTAGTATCCCTGTGCGCGATGGATAAAAATGTTTAATTTCAAATTATCTCAGCTGTGTATGTACGTTTTAAAGTCAACCGAAGGATGTAACTGTTTTCACCATGTTTCTTGTATCTTTTCAACAGGTATTTGACCATTAGTCAAGAGCATCATGAATCATCATAAATCAGGCAAATCGGAAATCATTTGAATCCATCAGGCAGCTGCAAGCCAGTTTCATTGGCAAAGCCCTTTTTGAACATTCTTAAAACTTTATATCAGCTTTTTCATTAATCATCGTTTATTTAGCATTTACATTTCGCAACAGACACTTAATTCTTTTTGACTTGATAATAGCAATTAAATTAGTTGAACGTCGAAACGTTGTCGTTTTTTTAATATTTTTAATATGAAACTACATTTTGCGCAGTATTTTATATCCAAATGTTTAAGTATTATGTTATTTTAAATTTATCAAGTCTTTTTTCTTCCTTCACTTTTTTTTGAAACGTTATCCCTCTTCTAATTGTCGGAGAATCCTTCAACTGAGCAGCAGTAAAAATGCATTA